GTAATTCACAATGGGAAGCTCAGTGATGCTTTTGAAGTGAAGACAGGAGTGAAACAAGGTTGCCTACTATCATCCATGATATTCCTGATTGTGTTGTGGTCGACTGGATCATGCGACAAACAGTGGGGAGCGAGAAGGGGGGATACTCTAGCTGGACCGATGAAAAGACACTAGAAGAAGATTTGGATTTCGCCGATGACTTGTGCCTGATGTCACACAAACTTGAAGATCTACAGGCGGAAACTTACAAGTTGATGGAAGAGACAGCGAAGATGGGACTTCAAGTGAATATAGAGAAGACAGAGGTGATGAAGATACCGCACCAACAACTCCAACAACAACAACAACAACAACAACAAACTCCAATCACCATCAACGGCAGAAACTTAAAGGAAGTAACCTCCTTCACCTATCTAGGAAACACTGTTTCAACTACAGGCGGCACAGGCACAGACGAGGATGTCAAAGCCAGTCAGGATCGGAAAAGCAAGACAGGCGTTCATTAGCCTGAAACCAGTGTGGAGATCTTCTGCACTCCTCTCAGCATGTGGAACAACATCCGGATTTTCAACACCAACGTCAAGTCAGTGCTTCTGTGTGATGGTTGAGAGACTTGATGCGTTACGAAAGGGATTTCCAATAAACTACAGACATTCATCAACAACTGCTTACGCTCGCTACTGAAGATCAGATGGCCAGAAAGAATAAGCAACAAGGAGCTCTGGGAACGAACCAACCAAGAACCTATCACTCAACAAATATGCACTGGAAGGAAGTGGAGATAGATGGATTGAACATAGACTGAGAAGGCCGACTGGGGACATCATGCGCCAGGCCAGGTCGTCGAGTGGAACCCCGATAGGGTGCGACGAGTTGGGCGTTCCGGCGGAGGGTGACATGGAGGAGATCGTGCGAGGAGGAAATGAGAGCTTGTGGGCTGTTGTGGAACCAGGTTCAAAAGATCTCAGAGAACGGAGGTCACTGGATACGTGCTACTGAAGCCCTATGTTCCATCAGGAACCCAAGGGACTAATGATAATAATAACAGTTTACATACAGCATTTTTATGGACTCTAGAATGATTGCTGTTGTAGTTCAATATTTTATCGATATGTTCAACTTTCTGTACACTTGAGTTTGCGAAATTCTGTCGTGCGTTTCGCCAAAGGGGACATCTGAGAACAGAATTTTGCTGCTGGCTTCCTTCTCTTTTATCGATTGAATTACGGCCATCCCACAGGAAAGAACGGACCGCAACGCAGTATAACCATCCTTTAGATATAATCTGATGTCTCACCAGCCAGCGACACAGGTTATGTAAGCTAGCAAATGCCAAATAGGTCATCAGCATTCAAACCGATATTTCGTCAGAAACAAGCCCATTCAGGCTGGCCAACTTCTCACGTAAGTAAAGTGTTCGATATATCCCACCACTTCGCTCCCTATCATTAGACTGAAAGTTGTTGCAGATCAGTCCTGGAGAATCATCTTATATTTGATAGGTGTGAAGCGCAAGTCAAATTTCCGCTAAGTGCGTTCACAGGACCATGCTTCCTGTCAGGGTCTTCATTCAAGTGGACAATGTCACCTGCATAGTACAAGTGAACCAGATGACCTCCAGTGAGTAGGTCAATGCTTGTGAAGTGAGATGTATCGAAGTTTATGTGCACTAGTAAGTCTATGACAAATATCAACAGAAAGGGTGACAGTGAACATCCCTGGTGAACACTACTAGTTCTCGTTAGTTCACATCACAAGTCTTCATAAGCCCTTACTCAGCGTCATGAGTTCGAGTAGAGAGCTTTTATCAGAGTCGTATACTTCCTCAGTAATCCCTTCACAGTCACACTCTGCCACAACACGTCACGGTCAAAAGAGCCAAATGCTACCTTCAGATCAAAAAGTATGGCAGGTGTCGGCTGTCGATAAATATGTCTGTCTTTCAGAACACGTCAAAGGGTGAAGAGATGATTAGTGCATCCACGTCCATGTCTAAAACCACCCAGGTTTTTTTTGAGTTTGCTTTTCTCGAGCTCCAGGTAGGTGTCGGATAACTACAGGATCTTCGACACAATATTAGTCAAACTGATTCACCTATGATTGTCACAGGAAGACTTCTCTCCTTTTTTAGACTGGGATAATCAGAGATCTAGACCAGTGTGACGGTACTACTTCTGATTATCATACACTACATAGTATCTCCATCACTCTAATCCCCGATTTCCTGCCTCCATTCATGAAAACTTCAGGGGACGAAACTGTCAGGCCCTGCTAATTCACGTCGGTTCAGGTTCGACACAGCCTTCTTAACTTCAACGAGAGTTGGAGGACCGACACCTGCATCTCATTCAGGTTCAGGCTGGATGTTGGACAACTGAAGCGTTACTCAGGGTCAATTGAACTGTACTTCAAAGTCCTCTGCCCAATGTCCTAACAGCCTCTCCTGTGATCTTATAAGCGTTCCATCCTTCTCGGTGATGGTTTCACTCACCATCGTCTCCTTTTTGCCGATATCCTTAGTAAGCCTAAATAGTTGTCCAGTGTCACCCAACGCTAATGCCTTTTCCATCTCTTTCTGTTTCGCCACCCACCGCTGCTCACGCTCAACGCGAAGACTCGGTCAACTGACGTTTGAGTTCTTTCCGCTCTTCGTTGTGGTCCAAGCCAGCTAGAATCAGTCATGTGGCATCAATCAGTTCGGATGACGTCCCAGGAATCCAGTGACGGGTGTAGGTTACCTACCAACTGTCTTTACAGCTGCTTCTTCAGCAGACTTCACATCACTCCAGGTCTTCTCAGGAGGAGCATTGCTGTCACGTTCAGATAAATGCTTGGTTATCTCTTCCCTAAATTTGGACTTAGCATTCTCATCTTCCAATCGATCATAGACAGGCTTTACTATCGCCCGTTTCCTTTGACCAGTAAGGAGTAGACATACACGAACCCGTACTTGAGCGAGATCTGAGTCCAAACTGGTACTCCACAAACAGCGGTAATCTTCCAACGGCGTCTGATCGCAATATGATCTATCACTGTCTATCGGTGGTTTAATGTCAGCGTACACCATGTGAGACAGCGGCTCATTTCATGTCGAAAGCTAGTGCTGGCCAGGAACAGGTGACTGTATGGACAAAAATGCAACACACGATCACCAGTCAGTTCGTTACCATGGGATTTCGTAAACAGATTCACTACAATGTACGGGTGAGGTCAATTTAATAATCACACTCAGGTCTTGTATACATATCTCAGAGACTCAACACACCCAATACTAGAAATTCCAGAGTTCGGACGAGAGATGCTTCCTATCGGATTCGGTACAGAGTTTGAACGTCGATAGCTCCTATATGAAATCAACCGCGGTGTCTTGGGAAACTAGGAATGAGGTTACCATGGCTTTGACCGTTCACATTGGTCGCAGAATGAGGTTGGGGAAGCTGTAAGAGACCTAATTTTAGTATCTGGAAGCGTGCGAGCAGTTAGCACTTCCCATGGAAGGCTAGTTCTTCTCAAGGTGCCTGAAAGAGAATAAGTTTTGTGACCCCAGAGGCCATGGGGGACATGCTTGAGGTCTGTCACACACGGCGTTTTGTTTTCAGATATGGTTGCTTTGGCACCGGACAGAGAAAACCCATATCAACGGCTCCGAAAGACTGTGGGGCAGGTGGAATGTGCTATTTTGGGGTCCTCTTCTAATCCTCTCTCATTGGGGAAGCAGCATGAACGCGACACTGCTGGTCATCTAAAGGAAACACCTTACTGGTGTCAAACCTCATTTAGCTAGCAGCAGTACGACTTTGCCATCGGACAACCGATCATAGTGCAGCAGTTTACACTACAATGGTAACTACTTTTCGTCTTACCACTATCTAACAAACCTTTCTGCGATAGGACCTCGAAGGAACAAGCGTTCCACCAGTATAGCTTGTTGGGTCATTGTGATAGGCAAGGCCGACCACCACGTCAGGGGAGCAGCTATCAGCGTAAAGTATATTAGACTTACATCTACAACGAGTCAAATAAGCTCACTAGATACATTGTGAGGAGCTTTTCTCCATTCCTTCCCCCCCCCCCACCCCATCTAGAATTTCTTCAGTATTAGCGTATTTCCTAACTGTCTTCAGCCCTGAACTGAACCAAGTCGTCTTACTAACACTCCTTACATTCAACACCGATTTCCAACGTGGTTCCAAGCTTTTGAAAAATGTAAAAGATAGGAAGTCTTGATAAGCAAATTAATTTAATTTGAAAAATTCCTAGAACAAATATACCATATGTTCATGTAGGTAGTATACGAAGTTTTCAACTTCAATAGTCAGTCAGGAAAGAATTACAAAAACGAAAAACAAAACTGGTTCTGCTCTATTAAAAAGTAGTCAGTATTATTTACAATGAAAACCAAAAGAAAATACAAGAAAATTCAATCACCAATAAGGCACAAGTGAATCAAATGTGCGTTTGTTTCTGTTCAGTTTACAGTATAGGTATAGATAAGTATAACTGCATACATAAAATTGTATCATAGCCAAAAATTTCCCATTTGGACAAACGAAATTATTCAGTTATCTCATGCTTAAGATACGGAATGTCTCACTGTGAACAGAATTTATGATGTTATCAGTAAGAGATTGGTATGAACAGAAAAGAAATAAAAGTGAGAACAAAAGGAATGAGAGTCAGATAAACAAGATAACTAACTTACATGTACGTGTAACAGATTGGCACTTCAACAGCCACTAAGGCTTAAATATGAAAAAACTGAAAAGACGAATACAAGTACTTCGCTTTAAAAAGATGGGGATTCAGTAAAGGCCATTGAAATAATATAAATAGGGATTTGTTTCTAGTAAATAAATGCACTATATCTATTTATCGAATAAGTAATAAGGAGAAGATAAACTCATAAAACTAAATTACAATATTAACGATAGAAAAATTATACAGAGCTATTGTAGTTTCTAACAGAAACCTCATCCACAATCGAATTAACAAAATGCAGTTCAAGAAATAGGAAATAGACCATAATTACTGCTATGGGTTGAGTTATGGCTAGTAGATGAAGAAGGACTGCTACTACTGGATGATTGCACAAAGGATTGTTGTTGGCGTCGACATGAAGACTTGCTGCCGCTAACTTGTGGTAACAACCGTGCGGCAGCAGCAACAGCCGATATTGTTATAGTGGTTGAAGTTTGTGCTAAGTCGGATCTTTTCAGTTCTGTTAGAGAAGGAGATGATGAAACAAGCTCACTACGAACAAGTAAAGAACTGTGTGTAAAAGAGAAACGGCGACTGGAGTTGACTGCAACACCTTGATCTGTACAGAATACCAAGTCTATATCACGCTGTGAAGGTGCACTACGACTGAGTTGACTTGACTTGGAAGAGTTATTATACCTTAGTGAGACAGGTAAATACATCTGATCATTTTCTGCACGGCTTTTGTTAATGTCTTCATTGCAAAATGGGAATGGTAAATTACTGTGCAGACTAGGACCTTGGAAACCGGAAAATAAACTTGAACATTCGGCTAAATTAACTGATACCTCACTTTGTTTATTTACATCGAAACTGGTATCACATTTCTGCAATTGCTCGTATTCCAGTTTCGGCTCTTGGGATATAGGGTTACAAGGACTTAGCTCTCTTACCCTAGACGGATTTGTAGCAGGTAGACTGCCTGGTAAAGGAAATGACCCACGCGAATGCAAAAGGTTGTGATAAACCACATGACCTGTTTCAACGGAGATTGGTCTTGGGGTTGGTGGTGCACTTGCGTGAGAAGAAAGACGACGGTGAGCAAGTAGAGTTGGTCTCACAGTAGCAATTGTAGATGACGAACGACGAAGTCTAAGGATATTCCCAGGTGAAAATGCAGTTGTTAGCTGGATGGGGTGTAATGGCAAAACAGTAGAGCATGGCTCAAACTTTAAAGTTTGCAAACTAGTGGAGGATGAAAGGAATGGCCTGAACTTGAGCATGAGATCAGTTGTTTCAGGACCCGGAAGTACATGACCAGGTGCGATGGACGATGGAGCACGCGCAAATGATAACAAAGACCGATACTCTTCTAAGGGTGACGATATCTCTAATTTTGACAAACCAGTGCAAGGAGATGGCAGTAATGCACTGGGAGATCGAGTAGGAGATAATAATGCTGAAATTCTACTACGTTTACCTTCAGTTGGACTTGTTCCAGATTCAGGAATTGGTCCGATTACTGCTGCACAATGTAAGGAACTTTTTCTAACAGGCTTTTCCAAAAATCCTCCGAAAGAAGATGAGGTAGCTTCTAAGCCAAGATAAGTAGGTCTGTCCCGCTTCTTAGATAGTACTTTTGGAGATGTTGGAGTTAAGCTTAGGGCGAAAGATGAAGAATACGAACTAGATTTTGGTACGTACAAGCCTGATGATTCTGTTGGCACATATGAAATAGTAGAACACAGACTTGCAGGGCTACCGAAAGTTGAAGTGCTACCAATAGAAGAATAAGAAGTTTCACTGCAACCAGAATCGTGGAGGTGATGTTCAAACTCTAGCAACTGCCCCAGAAAATTGAAATTAGGAGCAACACTACTCCGCCCGATTTGACGACACTAGAAAAGGGAAGGAAATGTTGGTGATTAAAAAGTAAATAAAAAATTTAGCATCATAATGAAACTACGAAACTGCTTTTGAATGAGAGTCTAAGGTAAGAGTAATGGAATAAATCGAAAACTGCAGGAAGCTTTACTACTCTCAGTCGGACAGCATCAACATAGATGTTGCGATACTGCGTAACGGTACATGGTCCACACTACACAACAATAAAGAAGGCCTTAAGATTGATTATAGAGAAATTAAGGAATCAAGTGGCATAAAGTCATAAAAAGAAAGCAGGGTGGAATTAGAAAACTATCAAATTCGGTATGACGATTGAAATGCAGATAATGTGCAGACGTATCTATACGACAGATGAATGAGCTACGGTCACCTTCAACGCTGTTTCGACAGCGAACTAAAAACTGTAACAGACTTCATCAGGACGAGTAACGTTTTCACTTCCTGCTAAACGTCTAGATAGTCCCTCTTTGATAGCAACGTTAGTATTCATATCATCGAGTTGCATTAGGAGTGGCCCTGGGTCCTGCATATGTGTCGCTTGAGCAAACCACACCTCCATGACCCAAAATGCCAGAGTTTCGGCTAACGAAGTTTTTTTGTTCGATTTGACGGATAATGCGGTTATTGAAGCCTTCAATATATGGTTGGCAGTGCAGCTTCAGGAGACCAGGGCGGTTGAAACTTCCTAACCGCCTGTGCCATTGAAAGATACTTCTTCGTGAGGTACCTCAAAGAGAAAATGGATCGCGTTGTACAAGGGACATCTAACTGAAACCGGTTATACAGCCGTTCTGGAAGTTCCAGACTTACGTTTGACTGATTTGCATCCAACCAGAAACCCATACCGCTAGCACAGAAAGACTGAGGGTTAGGGAGGGGTATGGTACTCTAGGTCCAACTTTTTCTAACTCGACCCATAACAGACAATCGAATATTGCGACAATGCCATAAATGAGGAAATTTGCAAAAGAGTTTTTTGCATTCTTGAAGAGATTTCGTCGATCATTGATCCACCAGGGTTGATTAAACTTCTCAAATAAGTGGATTGGTCAACGCGCTCATCCACTCGACTCTCTATTGTTAGGCAGGGTGCATCTATAGACCAGTCTTGAAGAAAACATTCGCACTTGGGGCAAGAAAATCATCCGAAACATTTTCAAATTGTCACTCAATGTGCTCAGAAGATTTTGCATCTTGGCAGAGTCTTCATCTAACATGAATATGTGGTCTGCGAACTCAAGGTCTACTAAAGATTCTTGTTACAAGGCTAATTCTTGTAAAGTCAGATGATGAGAGAGACCTCCACGTCTAATATTATGAAAAAATAAAATAGGAATGGCGAGGAAGGACATCTTTAATGGAAACTACTCGAAGTACACATATCGCCGGATATCTAACCGTAGACTTCAACATGCCTTCATAGGTTCAAATACAGTGTCTTTAACAGAGTGATTTACTCTGTTCGGTCTAACTTGGCACGAGCGATACTTATCGACCAACGAAGTCGAAAGCCTACCTATAGATCAAGATATGCAACTAGTTGTAGGTGCCCGTGTGACTGTTACAGAGCCTGAGGCAGGATGAATGTTTGGTCAATACACATATGACCAAGTATGAAACCTGCCCCATTTTCTCAGGTTCGCTCTTCTCGAGCTTAGAATCTTAGGACACTATCAATTTATTATAAGTATATTTGTAACGAATATTTACACGTAGTGATGTTATTTAATTTTGGTAATATTTCAAGCAAAATTATTGCCCGTGGTTACACCAATTGTTGGAATTATTTGTTAACATATTTACGGATAGAATCCATACATACAGCGTCGTTATTTCATAGGTTTGTCAGTATTTTTCTCCAGTACTAGGTGTGACTTGCTTAAACATGAATTCGGTCAACAATCCTTTTAATTTATCCATGTTGGACTTTTAGGTGTCAACATTGTCCCAATCAAAATTGTTTTTCATCCTATGCATTTGATGCTATCGATGAACTTCATATTTTTATTTTATTGTATCCCTACGGGCTGACCTTCAATTAATCGTCTATGTTCATTCAGTCTGATTTTCAGTGATCCAGACGTTTGACCTACATAGTTAACTGGCAGTCAGCACAAGATATTTTGTACATGTTGTTTTTATCCAATTTTTTTAATGGATCTTTTACTTGATTTAATTTGTTCGATGAGGTTTATGGGTTTAAATGTGGTTCAAATGCCTGCTCTTCGGAGGTTTCTTTGCATAGACTCAGATGTACCTTTTTTATATGACAGTACTACAGCTTTCGACATACCTCCTTCTTGTCGCTTTCCGTTTTTATTCCCCCTGTCTTTTATGAATTGTTCAGGATAGCGATTTTTCTATAACATTTTGAATAAAATGTCGATTTCTTTTCTCTGATCATTAGGGTATGTTGTCAGCCTACGTATTCTATATGTTAAATTTTGTATCAACCCTCTTTTTACACTGAGTAGATGCGCTGAGTGGTAATCCAGAAATCTTCCTGAATGCGTAGGTTTTCTGTGGATCGTGGTCTCTAAACTTCCATTTGTCATTCTTTGTATTTTATAGTCTAGCACTGGTTATTCTGCCAACTCATTCTCTATTTCTATAGTGAATTTAGTTGAGTCCATACGACTGTTTATATGTGCATGAAAACTGTCGATATCCTTCTTTATTATGACTAATGTGTCATCTACACATCTCCACCAACTTCTGACTGAGGATATACATGACTAGGGCGTTTTCTCTTCAACAAATCCATGCATACCATCCTTCTTTTTTAATCTTGTCATTGGTATTTTCGTATACGAGCAGATTACATCAAAACTAACTAGCGCCTTCTCTTCACTAATTTTAGTGTTCCTAAGTCTTCCTACTAGTCCGGAGGAGTTGAATAGTCATGATTGCCAAGTGTCTCGGTTTTGGTTTTAGTATGTTAGCTGGAAACACCCACAATATATACATCGATGTGCTTCTAAAATATACTGGATACCCTTCTTTACGTAGTGTTATCATATATATTCTATGCATACTATAAGACTTAGGCATGATTACAAACCATTTAGACTTACCAATAGTTTATTTCATTTGCCTAATCACTTTCTACGTTCTTTTAATAGTTTTATTCGCCATTGCGTCAAATGATTTGTTTTTTGTGGAAAAAGGTCTGAACAGTTGGTGGACATTCATTTTTTCCGTATATGCAGTTCTATTGCGAATCACCATTGTATTTCCTTTGTCCGTCTGATCAATTACGACAAATTTACCTGGTTTAGTTTTTTAAGAGCTATCAACACTAGATTTTCATGGCTGTCTACTGCTAAGGCATACTGTACTCGTACCAATTCGACCGTTTTTTGATCACATCCTTCCAAGCACTGTCTTAATGTTGGGTATAACATCTGCCTCTAGTTTCTTGCTGCGAATAGTGCTGTCAGGTCTCTGTCTCTCCTATCAGCAGCCTATTCTGCCTCACTCGAAAGCGTGTCGTTGAAGTGTCTTTTGTCTTTGCGCGCACTCTTCTTCACTTCTTTGTCCAGTGTTTTATACATTGTACTCAGTTCCTCTTCTCGTCGTTCATCCTTGCACTGATTCATCTTCTGATTCGCCATCTTCCTCTCCTCCTCTATCAGCTTCCATGTATCCGTGGAGATCCACTCCTTGTTTTGCTTCTTCTTTCTTCCTAACACGGTTATGCGGGTTTCCTTCCACATGGCTTTCAAAGAGTTCCAGTGTTCTTCCATGCAGGTTTCTTCAGGATGTTACTTAGTGTCTCCCATTTTTTCCTGATAGCTGATGTGAAGATGCCCCTCGTAGTTTCGTCCTTCAGTTCACTTTCTGTTCTGGGTGTTGAACTTTAAGGGTGATCTATCATCAACTTCTTTGAAGGCTTTCAACTTGATTTTGAAGGTACGTTCTTTGCACTAAACAGTGAGTGGTGTGAACCTACATCTGCTCCCCTCCTTGGTCTGATCTTGTGTCCAGTTGGCTGCGTCTCCACTTTCTTCACATTGAGATGAAGTCGATTTGATTTTTAATGTGTCCATCTGGTGAAATCAGATCCATGTTGCTCCCATGTGAATATCCTTGTGCTTGTACACACTACCTGGCCTCCAATCACCAAATCGTTGAATGCGCAGAAGCCTGCAAACAGTTCTCCATTCTCGTTCATTTCACCTAGCGCTTCTCTACCCATGGTTAGTTCTCTTCCTGTGTTGTCCCCTCCCAGTTTGGCATTCATATCACCCATTAGAATTTTGATGTCGCCATCTAGGGTGGGGTCTTTTCCAGTGCTGATTGCAGTTATCTGTAGAATTCCTCCTTCTTCTCTCCATCTGCATTATTTGTAGGTGGGTAGCGTAGCATTGTACGATTGTGACTTTCCTCCCTTTTGATTTGAATCTTGGTGTCATGATCCGGATCCTGGAGGAGATTGGTTCCCACTGCATGATGGAGAGCCTTCGATGCTGTTGGGGACATCATGATAGCCACTCCCCCCGTGTGCTCATGGTTGTCGTCTAGGTGACAACATCGGAGTAGATTATTGATTCTCCAGTTGACAGTTTGGAGAGTCCACTTCCGTTTCATCTGCTTTCGCAAATTCCTAACACTTCAATGTGATACCTTCTCATCTCTTTTGCAATCTGGGCAGCCTTACTAGGTCCAAACATTGTCCGAACATTCCATATTTCCATTCTTACTTTCACTTTTATCGAGAGAAGAGAAGACACACCAGTCAATTGGCTTACCGAAGGCTTTCACCAACTGGCGTCATTTCGTCTCTCCGATTCCAGCGAGGAATAATTTTGTTTTTATGTTTTATATTTTGTTTGTGCTTTGAAGTTTCTTTAGCGGTTGGATTGGTTTTTACGGGGTAGGGTTGCTAGCCCTACGCCTAACCTCCCCTCTTTACCCAGGCTTAGGACTGGCTAGTAACTAGTGGACTAGTAAACTAGGCAAGGTTGGTGGTCGGTCTTGCAATATCACAATG